CCCTGGCTGTCCTCACCACACCCCAGCCGCACGTTCCCAACTGGAGGCCTTACCACTTGCTGGTTTTTGCCTGGAAGACCCCTTTTGAAACAGGAAGCCTTTCCTCGGCTGCTCTGCCTTGCCGAGGTCCACGTTATTGAAAACTGCAGCCTCCCCGCCCTAACGTCACTCTCGTCTCCTTCCTACTTTGTCTCTTGGTGTCAGTCATCATCCGTCACACTGAGGACTTCACACACGCCTCTCGTCTTCTCTCTGACCCTCCTGCTGGAGCGCGAGCTCCCGGGGGCAGGGATCCTGTGTGCTGTGGCCTCTGCTGCGTCTCTAGCATCAAGGACCGTGCCAATCACTTCACAAATAAACGGATGAATGGATAAGGGAATGGGTAAATGACAGATTTATTCGAGCCACCACTGTCTGTAGATAAGGAGGTAAACATGTTTAAATTACTGTCTGCAGAAAATGTGTAGGAATCATTTTGCATACGGGGCATAAATACAAAGTGTGAACCGCCTTCTCTACCTTCTCTAGCAAACAAGCAGATTTCATTTTCAAAATATTTATTATGTGGGAAATTTAGAAAAAGCAATAAAATTAAATGGAATGAGATGAGTCACCTGAATAACAATTTTTAAGAAGAGGAAAAGATTTTTTACCAATATAAACCTCATAGCATGAGGCAAGCCTTAAGCAACCTATGAAAACACAGAGCCCCAGATAAGTCAAAATCAAGATGAATGTCGCTCCCATTTCTTATTACAAACCCAACTATAAAAATCAACATGAACATAAACCTCCCACAGGGGAGTCCTTAGCAATCTTCTCCCTGCTTTCAACAGGAATCACTGCCTGGGGATGCTAACCTGGCTCACGCAACTTCAAGAGGTCCCCAGCCCCGGCCGAGGCACACTCTTGAAACCTGCCGAGGCGGGGTTTAACCCAAACAGCGCTGCACAGTGGCAGCTCCCTGTCGCTTAAGCCAGGGAGAAGGTGGAGTGCAGAAGCACAAGCTGTCACTGGGGTCAGAAAAGAGGCCGGTGAGGAAATACCTCTCACTTCTCTAGCCCTGCCCCTCCAGAAGCACACTTGAATCAGGTTTCCTTTCTCACTGTCGGAGAGAGGCCTCACAGTGTCCTTGCAAGGCTCTAACCCCCTTGACCAGGTCCCCTTCCCTGGCCCACCGCCTGCCGCTCACCCCTGCTCCTCTGTTCTTCCTGTGCTTGTGAACTTGGGGGGTGGCCTGAACCACCTCCGATTCTGGTATCCCATCCACAGGTCAGAGATGAGCTGGGCAATGGCCCCTGACTCGAGGAGACCCCAGCACCTACCCTGCATCCCCTTCACTGGCTTGTGCGGAGGGAGGATGAATATTATTGTGAATTACGCATGGGTCCCTGGGCGAGCTGCCTCTCTTGGGCTCCTCATCTGTGAAATGAGGAGCATTCTGAAGCAACGGAACCCTTTTGGAAATAATCTTGTATAGGGAAGTCCATCTGGTGAATAGGTAAGGACAGATGGAGATGCTCAGGCTGGAGTGGACTTGGAAGAGCTCAAGCTTCGTCTCCCTGTGCCCCTCCAAAGAGCCTGGGATTCTCTACAGCACGGCTGGAAACCCTGGAGCATGTGGTGGACAAACACCCTTTCAGCTACAAGATTTCATGGTTCAGTCATCACTGGTAACAACTCCCCTTTAAGAAGAGAGACCACTGGCTTCACGCCTGTCATCCCAGCACTTTGGGAGGCCAAGGTAGGTAGATCATGGGGTTAGAAGTTCGAAGGGCCAGGCATGGTGGCTCATGCCTGTAATCCCAGCACTTTGGAAGGCCCAGGCGGGTGGATCACGAGGTCAAGAGATCGAGATCATCCTGGTCAACATGGTGAAACACCGTCTCTACTAAAAATACAAAAATTAGCTGGGCATGGTGGCGTGTGCCTGTAATCCCAGCTACTCGGAGGCTGAGGCAGGAGAATTGCCTGAACCCAGGAGGCGGAGGTTGCGGTGAGCCGAGATCACGCCATTGCACTCCAGCCTGGGTAACAAGAGCGAAACTCCATCTCAAAAAAAATAAATAAATAAAAAATAAAAAGTTCGAAACCAGCCTGGCCAACATAGTGAGACCCCATCTCTACTAAAAATATAAAAAGTAGCTGGGCATGGTGGTGCGCACCTGTAGTACCAGTGACTTGGGAGGCTGAGGCAAGACAATTGCTTGAACCCAGCAGGCAGAGGTTGCAGTGAGCTGATATGGTGTCACTGCACTCCAGCCCGGCGAGAGAATGAAACTGTCTCAAAAAAAAAAAAAAGCAGAAGAAGAAGACAGACCACTTCTGGCATTGCTCTCACCTTGCCAACAGCAGGAAAAGCCAGACATCAAGTGATCCACCTGCCTCAGCTTCCCAAAGTGCTGGGATTACAGGCATGAGCTGCAGCGCCCTGCCAAATTGGAATTTTTCGAATTGGAAAACAGTTGCAATGCTGCACCCTCACAGCAGATAACCCAGGGGGTGATAATCTCTTTATTGGTGAGGTTTATCTAAAGACAGATGTATTCATCTTGCCCCCACACATACAAACCCCCCATCTGAATTGTGGAAAAGGCCTAAACTGGGTGGGCCAAGATCATCCCGGTGACAGGTGTACTCCTGGCCTCCTACACAAATCAATGAATGTCTCATTGGTGAACTTCTAGATTCTGATTGATCCTTGAGAGGAAGGTGTGATTACTGGACCTGTGTGCAAGGAGGACCCCCAGGAAGGCTGGACACGAATGCTGAGTGTGTCTGTGGGCACTGTGGAGAAGCTGTCTTATCCATGCAAGAGGGATGGCACTTTGGGGGTTAAACCTAACACAGAAGTGGAACCCAAGAAGGGGTTTTTTTCTAAATAGTACCATTGCACGCCAACCCTAAATAAGGAAGAACTGTCTACAGGTACGGTCCCCAATTCCTCTCCCCCCTTCTCTCTCGACTTTAGTCAGATTTTCACTAGTGATTCTTCCACTGACAATTGTTGTCAGGGTCACGAGTGACCTCCAGGATCCAAAATCAATGATCACGTCTCAGTTCTGGTCTTACTGGAATTAACCAGCATCACGTGACGCAGCTGGCCACTCTCACGCTTTGAAGCCCGTCTTCACTTGCCTCGCAGGGAGCACCTTCTCCCGTTCTGTTCAGTCTACTTCGCTGGCCACTCCTCCTTAGTCCCCTCGGCTGCTTGCTCATCTTGTGGGCTGCGGAAGTCAGTGCTCACTCAGCAATCTCATCAGTCTCAGGGCCTTAACGATTTCATTTCCCTATGAAACTCCAGCTTGCACACACAATTGCCCACGCTAGCACTCCCTTCCATGACTCATCTCTAACAACCCTCCGAGCTCTCATACTCTCCCTCCAAAGCAGCCCAACACCCCGCCCTGAGACTCCCCATCTCAGTTAATGGCTAGTCCATCCTTCTAAGTGCTCGGGACCAAACCTTAGCAAGTCTTTCTCTCACGTTCCACATCCCACCCAGATCCTTACTATGCCACTACTGTTACTTCCTCTACCATTTCCCACCTGCTCCAAGCCACCATCCGCACCTGCTCAGTGATTCTCGCGACTTCTTCCCTAGTCTTCTTGTTTTCACCATTGCCCCCACCAGGGTCTGTTTTCAACAAATGGCTGGAGCCGTCTTGCTAGACTCTGAGTTTGAGCCTGGTCCTCTCCAGCTCCAAAGCGCCAGTGGCTTCACGGCTCCCTCACTGTAACAGCCAGCGTCTCTAGCAATAGCCCATGAGGTCCTACGCGCTCTGGCCACCACCACCTCCCTGACCTCCACCTGCTCCTCCAGCCTCATGGGCTTCCCATCTGCATCACATGCCAGGGACATGCTACCTCCAGGCCTCTGCCTCGTTCTTTCTGCACACAGACTGTTTCCCAGGGATCCATAAGGCTTGCCTTGCCCTTCTTTGCCCCCTTTGGGTCTCTGCTCAAATTGTCACCTTAGCGAGGCCTTCCTACCAGCCAGCTCATCTGAAAGCTCAACTGCCCTGTCCCGGGTTGTCCCCACACCCCTACCTGCCTTACGTTTCCCTACAACACTTACCATCCCTCAACTTACCACACAACCATGTTGACTTATTTATATCATTTCCCCATGAGAAAGCAGGAGAACAGAAACATCAAAAGAACGGATCATTTTTGGTTTGTTTACTCAAATAGCCACAGCTCCTAAGGCAATGTCAAGCATCAAGTAAGTGGTCAATAAAAATGTGCTAAGTGAATAAAACGTGCTCTTATCTCATGGGGTTTTGGAACGGCTTCTAAGGAGCCATGTACTCTCTGAAACTCAAAGAAAAATTTTAAGTTAGATTCTCTTTTTCCAAGAAGAGAATCACAGCCTTAGAGCCTCGAAGAGATTTGTGACTCAAAAAAAGTTGAAGAACCAGTAACACAGACGCTTGAATTTAACAAGGATTATTATAGGTTTCTTCAAACAATGAATACACTTCATTCACAGCTACTTGCTAAAATAAGAAGGTGTGATCCACCAGTGGTGTGATTATACTATGTTCTTGCTTCAGAATTTCTAGCATAGACTCAAAAGATTTGTCTTGGGAATTTTTATGAGCAGATTTTGAATAGGCAGCATGATTATCCTCATTGTCTGTGAGCCAGAACACTGGTGAGAATGAATAAAAATGTGTTTTCACAGATTTGGAGGCCAACTACTATGTTCACGCAATGCTAAAAAAAAAAAAAAAAAGTACCTGTAAGGCACGTACGCATGTGTACGGCACGAGAAGGTCCAGGCGGGAAGGTCCAGGTAGGCGGCTGTCAGGCATATAGTCCAACACCTTGGCCCCACTAGGAAATTACCAGATCTTGTCCCAAAATAACAAAACCCACCCCCTTTACCACCCACCCTTTAATTCCAAAACCAGTTAAAAACAAAAAATACTCCACACGCAAAAGGTATGAAAATGTCACTGTGTAAGAGCCAAACTCCAACAGACGACATGGCTTACCTTCCCCTATCATAGAGACCCCCACGGACATGCCCATGAACTTGCTTTTGGTCCATACGTGAGTGTTGACGCACAGTCTCTTCTCCTTGCACTCACAGTAGAAGCAGGAGATGGGTGGGTGATGGGACACTTGCTCAGCCACAAACCTTAGTTTGTAGCTTTTGGAAGGGTCATCGGCCATCGGGTGTTCATGACAGCCGGCAGGAGAGTGGGGAGCAGTCCTCTTAGGCTTGACCTTGTCCTTGGGAACCTCCCAGGAGCAGTGAAACGTCTCGCCTATGATGGGGTTGTAGGGCTTCTTGGCCAAAGCGCCCTTGCGGCCCTCGTGAAAGGCTGTGAGATAATACTCCACGAAGCAGATGACTCTCTCCTCTGGCGTGGCCCCGGCAGTGATGGCCAGCAGTAGGTCTGGGTGCGCCATAAAATCTGCATACATCTCCAGCAAAGATCGTTTCTCCAGGATAAAGGTGGGAAGCACCACCTGCATTTGGAAGGACACAAAGACAGAAATCTTTGGGATTACTTGGAAAAGCTGAAAAGAAAAGCTGCAACCACCGTCACGCAAATTCACAACATCCCCAGCCAGGGAACAGTCTGTTTTGACTTGTGCACAAATGACAGATCAAGGGAAACGATACGAAAGAAAGAAGTGGCAGTGGAATCCGCAGGAGCCCGGCTCTGTGGACAACTCTTCTGAGTGATCTTCCTCCTTGCTTACCTGGGCTAACGCAGCGGTCTCTGCCCGTCTCCACTGCCATCCCTCTCCTAACTCTCCATTATTTAGAGATGTGAAGAAAACAGCCTGGAAGAGCTTTTCTGTATCCTGCCTGCCATCAGGCACGACCAAGGTGGGACACTCAGTGTGTGCCCACAAACATGGATACTGGGCTTTGTGGTGCCATTTCCTAGGGGGTCCAGGCAGACGAGGACCCACCACCGATGACAGTGGGCACTGGGAGACGCTGTTAGAAGAATGGTGCACAAGCCCCGCCATAACTGAGGAAGGGGAGGACTGTGGAAAGGGCCCAGCTCCGGGAGGAGGCAGGCCCGTCAGCGGGCAAATGTCCACAGAGCTGCTGCAGATAAGAGGGGCCATGGTGAGTCCATCTGCAGAGATCGATCCTCGAGACTGGTCCAGGAGAAACCACTGGATGATACAAAGTAGGCTGGCACTTAATATACAGAACCTGCTGCTAAAAGGACTGGCAGACTGGCTACTCCTAGGTTTGCTACTGGCACCATCACTGAAGACAGACCTTGTGGAGGCCGGGAGGACTCTGGTAGAGACAAAGCAGAGACTCGTCATTGATCCAGAGTAGATCCGGATGGTCAGTCAGGGGCTCCACAACCCCAAATGCCTGTAAACCAATGATTATTTAGTCGTTTGCTTTAAGTGATCTCACTTAAAGCAACTGAAGGGTATTTTGAAACTGGGAGGCCTGTAACTCACTACTGCTACTGCTGTTTAAAGAAGACAAAGTCCATGTTTCACTGTCCTAGTGTGATCTTAAAATAAATGAGTTGTCGAGTGTTTGGTTTTTTGTTTGTCTTTTTTTGGTTTTGAGCCAGTCATCTCCTGTCGCCCAGGCGGGGGTGCAGTGGCGCAGTCCGGCTCACTGCAACCTCCACCTCCTGGGTTCAAGCCACTCTCCTGCCTCATCTTCCCTAGTAGCTGGGACGACAGGCACATGCCACCACACGTGGCTCATTTTTTTTTTTTTTTTTAATTTTAGTAGTCACGGGGTCTCACCACATTGCCCAGGCTGGTCTTGAACTCCTGAACTCAAGCAATCTGCCCATTTCAGCCTCCCAAAGAGTTACCGGGTATTAATAATCCACCCACTTAGCTGCAACACACAGCCAGCCTTAACCCGGAGCCTCTCAGCCTGTTCCTCCTCATGTGGACCCACAGGATTTTGAAGCGGGAAAGCCCGCCCAGACCCGCTGGGTCATGCAGGGAACACGCCAGGTGCCAGCGAGTTGACTAATACCACGGGGCTGGTTGACAATCTCTCTTTACATAACCAATTCTGTCCTTCCTTTCTGTAGCCCTGAACTCCCGTGAAAACATTCGGGAGGGCGTATGATCATGGACCGCAAGTATCACACAGGCTCACAGATCTGTAATCCCGACTCCGCTTCCGGCTACAACACTCTTCCTTGCAAATGACTGGGCTATGGTGGAAAGGAGAAGAGAGGCTGCTGTGCTTTCAGCTTGTCCCCCCCAAATGCAGGTTGAAATCTGAACCCGGTGTGGCAGCGTTAGGAGGTGGGGAGTAGTAGAAGGTGTGGAGGTTATAGGAGCAGATCCCTTAGGAAGAGATGAACGCCTTCTTTCAGGAGCGAGTTCTTACTCAATCGGGACTGAATTAGGGATCGCAAAACCATGCTGTTCCAGAAGCGACTCTGACTTCCTGGACCCTTGTGCTCGCCATGTGATCTCTGCACACACCTGCTTCCTCTTCTGCCATGTTTTGACCCAGCACAGGGCCCTCACCAGAAGCCAGCCAGCTGCGACACTATGCTCTTCAACTCTCCAGCCTGCAAAATGGTGAGTTAAATAAATGTATTTTTCTTAAAAACAACTCAATCTCAGCCAGCAACAGTGGCTCATGCTTGTAATCCTAGCATTTTGAGAGGCTGAGGCAGGCAGATCACCTGAGGTCGGGAGTTTGAGATCAGCCTGACCAACATGGAGACACCCCATCTCTACTAAAAATACAAAATTACCCAGGCATGGTGGTGCGAGCCTGTAATCCCAGCTACTCGGGAGGCTGAGGCAGGAAAATCGCTTGAACCCAGGAAGTGGAGGTTGCAGTGAGCCAAGATTATGCCATTGCACTCTGGCCTGGGCAACAAGAGTGAAATTCCATCTCAAAGAAAAAAAAAACACACGATGAAAAAACCCTATGCAGTCTCATTCTGTCACAGCAACACTAAAGGGACTAATACAGATGTCCAGAGAGAGACAGGCAGACATGGCAACAGCAAAGTACAGAAATTTCAGAGGAAACCAGAAAAAGCCCCGTCTGCTAGAGAGGTAAAGCTTGGTGGATCTCTTTTAATGCTTTTCTATCTTTCATTTAAAAACTGTGTCAGGAGAAAATGTACCAGTGCTAAATAAAAAAGCAGCCAGATGTAAAATTGAACGTGTAATACAATCCAAGAATCATAAAAACACTCAAAATGTGAACATGTCTGTCTGGGTGATAGAACTGAGTGATTTTACACTTTTTTTTTTTTCTGAGTATCTTTCTGCTTTGCTTTTATAATACACAGGAAGAAGAAATATTATTTAAAAACACAACTATGCAAATCAATGGGAAGTTTCCTGATTTTCTTTAATCCACAACTTGACAAAATTGAGAATCTGGCTGCCCTAGGATCTCATCTGGCCAAGAAAAGAATTGAGCATGGAATAGCCTTCAGAGGCCACCTCTATTTACTTCTGATGCCTTTTTGTGGGGACGGGTCATCAATCCGCCACCATCACCATGCTCTCTGGGGGCTGCTGTTCCAATAAGGCTTCAGTGGGGTCAGGCTGCTGTGTTCTCCCACCACATAGCTGTCCAATGGCAGAGTAAATGAACCCCAGACACTCACCACACTTCCCTCTTCTGCCCCCGAATTACCCAAGGTCTCCTCTATGAATTCCACCCAGACAAGGTGGCACAGTTGGGGAACGTGGATTTAAGCAGCCTGGAAATCCCTTAATGAAGCGAAATCAGCGACAAAGGACAGACTGTCACAAATGTCTGCAGCTTCATACCTTCCCCAAGTGACTCCATCTCCTGCTCTCTCCCTTCCCCGGTCCACGGGGCCCTCTGGTCAGAAGGCAAGCCAGGGAAGGGGAAAGGCAGAAATATACACTGCAGTCATCAGCTCTGACGAGTGTAACTTCAAACAAAGATAATTTCATGACCTTGGCTCATGCCTTTTCCTCACTCTATAGCAATCAAGCTTCTATGGCAGTAATTCCACCTCTGGACAAGAATCCTCATGTTTACACCCAAGATTAAGGTTAACAAGGAACATCAGCTACGATACTTACTCTCTAGTTATATCCTTCTGAGAAGGACAAGAATTTAAGATGTTTCCCCTAATTTAGTCAGCATTTCTGAACTCAGAAGCTGAAGATTTAAAAAATAATAATAAGTAAATAAGAAAAAGAACTCCACTTGGAGCCCCGAGTCACAGAATGTCAGAACCAAAAAGCAGCTTTCAAGATGATTTGGTGCACTGCCCCAGTCCCATAGGTGAGGGCATGATGCCGTGGCCACCCAGTGGCTGAGCCAGCAGGAAACCTCAGGCTCCCGGCGGCCACCTCTGAGTCCCTGCCATTACCTGATGATACATACTGATTATCTGTTTCTGGTTAATAAGAACAACTTCTCGGCTGGGTGCGGTGGCTTACACCTGTAATCCCAGCACTTTGGGAGGCCGAGGCGGGTGGATCACAAGGTCAAGAGATCGAGACCATCCTGGCCAACATGGGGAAACCCCGTCTCTACAAAAAATTCAAAAATTAGCCGGGTGTGGTGGCATATGCCTATAATCCCAGCTACTTGGGAGGATGAGGCAGGAGACTTGCTTGAACCCAGGAGGCGGAGGTAGCAGTGAGCTGAGAATGCGCCATTGCACTCCAGCCTGGGCAACAAGAGCAAAACTCCATCTCAAAAAAAAAAAAAAAAAAACTTCTTTCAGTGGACAAGGGAGACAGCTAGGATGTCTGGGCCACCCCATCTGCTGTCATGGATTAAGAAGAGGGGGAAAGGCCAGGCATGGTGGTTCATGCCTGTAATCCCAACACTCTGGGAGGCTGAGGCAGGAGGATCACTTGAGGCCAAGAGTTTGAGACTAGCATGGGCAACATAGTGAGAACCTATCACTACAAAAAAAACAATAATTAAAAATTTTTTAAAAAGAAGTGGGTGAAGGAAAAAGAATGGGGAAGAGAGTAGAACATAAGCCCCACCTCCTCAGGCCGTTTCACTCTTCCCAACAAGGCAAGAAAATCTACCATTCCAAACATTATCATTACTGTCATACGTGGGAGGGAGATCGTTGCAATGAAGTGAGGGTATGGCAGATATGGCTCCCAAACTGGCGGTACAGCCTCCTGCAATACCTCCAACTCCCCTCCACACCACGGCCAGAGTCACCTTGCTAAAATCTCTGTAAGAGATAAAGTCCAACCTGGTCCCCACCTCCCTCTGGTCTCACACAATATCCTGACTGTCTGCTCCCATCCCTCCCTGCACAAAACTCCCCTCACATACACACACTTCCTTTTTCTGACCTTTCTCCTCCCTTGTCTAGGTGACAAAAAGCTCCTCGGCTCAAGTAGCTCTCCTCTGTGAAGCTTTGTTTTTGTTGACAGTTCCTGCTTCCGAGGCTAAAGCAACAACCTCCCCCCTCTCACCCCGTTTCCTGTCCTTGGCACCTCACACATACCTCCACCTCCAAAGCTCTTTTCTGCTT